GCATTTCTTCATCAATCAATCAATTGTGGAAGTGAAATGGATTCTAAGAGTAAGAAGCATTAAACCCATGAGATGTAATCTTAGAGTAGCCAGCTGGGATGTTTAATAGTATTCTAGCCTCAATCTAGTTATCTCGCAATTTTACTGAATCGTAGTGTTTTATCTATATCCGTTTTCTTAAAACATGAACCTGGTGTAGAAGTCTTGTCTTGCTCTTCTCAGTTATACTTTAATATTTATCTTTATTGGGGATACATATAAGAAGCCATTTCTCTGTTATGAATGTTTGGGCGATTATCCAAATATATGGACCATGAATCTCTATCTAGTTATCCTTTTTTATCTGTCATCCTTTAATATTAACTGCACTGAATAAAGTTTGAGTTAGGATAGGGACGTTTTCTCTCTGTCCATGCAACTGTCCAGGTGATAACTCAAATACCATGAATCTCTGTTCTTATCTCACTTTAATATGTTAATATTTTTCTCTGTTGACTTCTATGTGATCTGAGTCTTTTCCCTGAAACACATTGTAATTCCATATTTAAATATCTTTGGAAAACCTATGTTGTAAAAACTAAACGGGCACAAATTACAGATATTCACCTACGTTTAGATCTAGACCATTTTCATTCATCTGGCTTCCTTGATTCTTTAATGGTTTATTATGTTCTCCCGGGACTTTTTCTATGAGTGGAAACGTAACAAAATTCTTATTTTCATAATTCTGACCAAGTTGGTCAATATAATGTGAATTTTGCAAATTTTTTCTCATTTTGAAGTGGATGTAAATTAGGTTTTGAATGTGTGTAACTGGGTTTTCATAATCTCGATTATTTGTTCTATTCTGATTGAAAATATATTCTATTCTGATTAACCAAACACTACTTTGATTGATCATGGAGTCTCGCAGACAGTCATCATTACGTGAGAAAACGTTGCAATCATCTGTTGCTTTAGTGCACTGTACATATGCTATTGGTGGTAATAAGTAGAAGTGTTTTCTCTTCTGAGATTACTGCTAGAGAATTGATGTATTGGCTGGCAGAGACTAGCATGTATATTTCATATTGCATCATATTGTCTCTTGTTTCTCTGTATATGTCTTAACCATTCATTTGAGAGATATTGCTATAATATGTGTACCATGTGCCTATTGGCTTAAAACTTACTTACATGTTGACTACTGTGTATTGACAATTACATCAACATAATCGGCCATATTACTGCAGTATACATGACAGCAAAAGCAGTAAAAATACTTTTCAACCCATTATATGCAATAAACCATAGATTATTATATACCCTCAATTTTTCCATCCTTCTAATACAAAAGATATCAGAATCCTACTGAGGAACAATAATTGGTAATTGATTAACTACTGGTAAATGTTATCTCGAATTGCAGCTCAACTCAAACATATTTTGTACTTTCTGCAAGTCATCTGGTATACCTGGAAAACCCATCTGGGGCAAACCTGTCTAAAAATGTAAATGTTGTTTGGTTCACAAATTGGCTGAATATGCTTACTTTGAGAGTTGTTCATATAAGGACATTCTTAAAGGATTCGCTTGCACAAAAAAGAACCAAACACTTCATATTTGAAGGTGTTCTCTTTTGTAAAGTGTTCATTTGTTGCTAAACTTTAAATGTAAACAAAGATGGCAGTTATACCGATTTACTTGTTTTTGTTTATCTTCCCTGATATAGCATTTATATGTGACATTGAAGGCAAAATCCAACAATTAGAAAGGATACTTGTTACATGCCCTCACTCGCTGTTTTCATTTTTATGTTTAGGCATATTTTGAAGCACTCTAATATTGTGTAAAAGTATTTAAGAATAATCAGAAATGTGATATAAAACAAGTATTTCCTTATCACATCTATACTGTGTCTAGCAAGAAGTATTCAAAATGAAGAATGTTGAGGCTTGCATTTCTGTGGTGTTCTAGCTCAGCTGCTAATATTTTGGTGTTCATATAGTGAAATGCATTGTTACACAATTATATAGTTCAGATCTATTAAATATGATGTAAAGGAAATCATCACCTGCATTTAAACTGAATGACACATGCCTTTGGGAGAAAAGAGAAAAATTTAATAAACATGAAATAGGCAACATGTTACAAATCTATTTTTCCTCTTTTATCAAGATAAATGGGATTTTATCAAGATAAAGGAGCATACACATTCTTTTATGATTATGAATTCTAAAACAGTATATTTAAAATGACTATCCAGCTGATTTCGCACAATGAATTATAGACGATTTTTTTCGATACACCTTAGAATATGTTCAAGAAGAATTTTATTCTGAATAACCAAATATTTTGTCTGGACTTTTCTTAGAGTACATTTACTCATCATTTATAAGGAAATAATTGGGGTATTGATAAGTAATGCAGTTCTGTACATGTATTTTCACAGATATGGTTGACAGGTTGAATACCTAGAAATCTATATCTGGTTAAAACGTTCCTGGTAATGCAGTATCCACATGTGGCTGGCATTGAACGAAGTAAACTGTAGGTGATCTCATAGCAAATCAATAGAACCAGTCTCTGGTATAGTAGTTACTTAAGTGTTTGTGAAATCATTACCTTGCTTTCACTGTCGTTTCTTAAAGGATTTCTATTGCTAATATATGTAATTTTAATCACTCACTGCAGTCAATCTCTTTTGATGGTATTGATATAACTAACTGTGTGTGTTCTTTAGTAAGAGGTTATTCTATGAAGTTTTGCAGAGGCCCAGCCCTGGGCTCATAGCTTATATGCTACACTCTGACGATGAAGGTTTTCAGCCATTCAGAGAGCATAGTAAAGGTACTTATATGCCTACACATGTATGGAACAGTCTTGAAGCAATGGTGGGTTATAAGGGATGGCTTATTCAGGTTTATTATGTCACATTGTTGTAATCTCCAACTTTTTGTGGATGGCGGTTAGTGTTTGATATTTGGTGGTCAGTGTCTGTAATAAATTCTTACAGCATCTGTAATAAAAAGCAGGTGATGATATTTTGCATGTTAATACCTTTTTGCTCATATATTGTAAAGAATGAGTGTCTATTCTAAAACATTCAGTATTTTGCCTTGTAATTAATAAGAAACACCATGCAAGGACTGAATTCAACATACTTCTCATGTGACAAATGCATTTTCTATTGTTGAGTGATTAAATGACAAATGTTTATAGGCTTTAAAACAAAAAACAATCATAAAATACTATAAATTGAATCAAACTACTTGATAACTTAGTTGTGACTTTGTAAACTGCTCTGTTTATGTAATTTTATTTTTTCTCCAACTAATCCATGATTAAATATGCTGAAAAAACATTGATTTTGATTTGGTGTGCCTGGTTCTGCATATAATACAATCTGTCTTTACTATAATGCCTATAACCATTCTGAATTTCTGATACTCCTCACAGCTCACTGTTTCACTAGAAAATGTCATGGCCGAGATCCTCGAGGGTGGAGAATATCAATATATGGTTCAGGTACTAGGCATTCCCAAGTATTCTAAGTAATTCGTTTTTTATTTATCATTAATTCGGTGGCCTATCATGACCTATGATAGACTCTATTCCATCATTTTCTTGTGTTGAGGAGTTAATAATGGAAAGAGAAGCAACAGTTAAGCTGTGTCTGTCCCAGTTCATCTGTCCGCTTGAATAATGTCTGAATATTTACCATATCTTATGTATGAATGGGATATATAGCCCCTTGCTCAGAATGTATTTCCATATTTTTTAGGATGCACAGGATGAGGATGACATTTATGAAGAATTAAAGCCAGCTAATTATCCCACCGAATGAAGTTTGCATGGGGTATAGGAAAGCCGTACGTCTGTCTGTCCGGGCAATTACTCAAATACCGATTGACGGATTTGATTCATAGGCTTATGCCTTATGGGTGTAGGACCTCTGCTCGAGAAGGAATTTTCAATATGGCCGCTCAATTCAAAATTGCCGCCATTTTTCATAAAAAATGTAATCTTTGATAACTCAATTACTAGTGGATGGATTTGGTTCTAATTTTATATGCTGATGCCTAGGAACAAAGGAGCTTTTATATTAGATGGCTGCTGATTTTCAAAATAGTTACCATTTTTCGTGAGAAAACATAATATTTGATAACTCAAATACCAGTAAACGGATTTCATCCAAATTTTATATGCTGACGCCTAGGTACACAGTTGCTCTGTTCAAGAAAACATTTTCAAGATGGCGGCTGTATTTCAAATTGGCCACCATTTTTTTTTGTTAAAAATGAAATATTTGAGAATTCAAAAACCAGTACATGGTTTTAGTTCACATTTTATATGCTGAAGCCAAGTGACACTGCTGCTCTGTTCGAGAATCAATTTTCAAGATGTCATCTGAATTTCAAAATGGCCGCTACTTTTCCTCAAAAAACATAATATTTGAGAATTCAAAAACCACTATTATGGATTTAGTTCAAATTATATATGCTGAAGCCAAGGGACACTGTTGCTCTGTTCGAGAATCAATTTTCAAGATGGCATCAGAATTTCAAAATGGCCGCTACTTTTCCTAAAAAAACGTAATCTTTCATAACTCAAATACCGGTAAACAGATTTGGTTCAAATTTTATATGGTGATGACTAGGGACATAGTAGCCCTGTTCGAGAAAGAATTTTCAAGATGGCAGCTGAATTTCAAAATGGCTGCCATATTTTGTAAACAAGGTGTTGACTGTTTTTCAAAATGGTCACTATTTTTCTATCTTTGGTAACTCAAATACCAGTAAACGAATTTGGTTTATATTTTAGAAGCTGATATGCTCTGTTCAATATGGAATTTTCAAGATGGCCACTAATTATCAAAATGTGTTTTGTTCGGTGGGATTTGCTACTCCGTTGAGTTGCTGTTTTTCTAGTTAAAATAATTAAATATTTGAATAAACTGACATATTCATTTTTTTTATATTATATTACTTATAATGATTTGTTCCATTTTTTGTTTCCAGAATGTTGCTGATAGACACTGCTTAACAATATGGCCACCAGTTACCCATCCCCAGAAGGAACTATGCAGCAACAACAAGCTGTTCAGAATTCCCCATTGGAGCCTCAAATGGGGAATTATGGGATGCCACCTCCACCAGTGCCCCCTATGCCAAGTCAGAGAATGTCGAATCAAAGCTTCACATCAAACATGACAGGCAATAATTTAGGATCAAATAACTTAGGAGCAAGTAATATGAGCAGTGGTAACATACATGATATCAGTATGAGTGGAAACAATTTAAATATGACTGGAGGAAATATAAATAACTCCTTGTTAGGCAATAATATGGGTAATACGAATCAGAGCAATACGATGGCACTGTTCCGTCAGCAGCTGCAGCAGAGAAGGCAGCAGACTCAACCATCAGTGTTCCAGTTTGATGAAAATGCTGTGGCTAATATAACTGCTTTTGGTGAGGATCCTACATCGCCATTTCAGAAACATTGTAATATAGAGCCTACGTCACCTCACCTTCAGTCTCCTCATCTGTCTCAGCATGTCGTATCGTCTCCTCATCTCACCATGACGTCACTTGCCCAGTCTCCATTGGTTCAGAACACTCAAGTACACCAGTCTTCTCATATCTCACAATCGTCTAACATGCCACAATCTCCTCATGTACCACATTCTCCTCATGTCCCTCAATCCCCCCATGTCCCCCAATCCCCTCATGTCACTCAATCTCCCCATGTGGCTCAATCCCCCCATATCCCACAGTCTCCACATTTGGCCCATTCACCTCATGTCCCCCAATCTCCACATATGTTCAGACAACAGCAACAGTTCATGACCCCTGAGCCCCAATCCCCACACAATATTCAACAATTTCAGAAACAGCAGCAACAACAACTCTCTCAGCAGTCACCTTCTCCTGTTGGCTTCCAATCCCAGCAGAGCACGTTTAACATGACTATCCAGCAGCACAGCACGGAACCGGCTTCACCTGCCTTGAACCAGTTCACTCCAAGCTCACCTGCTGCAATCCAGTTTCAACAGCAGCAACAACAACAACAGAAGTTCAATTTTTCTGGTCTGAACTTAGACCAGGCTACCTGTAATCTCCAAGCTCAGTTGAGGAAACAGTTCAAGCAGGAACCCCCTCCTTCCCCTCACTTTCAGACCCAACAGTTTAATGCTAATGTTAACATCAACATGTCTGCTCAAGTTGACCTGCCTACATCATTGTCGGAGGATGCCCTCATGACATCAGTTAGCCCTGTCTACCAGGATCACAGCCAAGCCAGCCCAGTGGTTGCTCAAACATTGCCAAATGAAGCACTACAGTTCCAATCCAATGATGGCGATGCTATGCTCAGTGCGATCAATTATGACGCCAGTGAAATGCTAGGGAATCTAGAAGATAGCTTGTTGAATCAGACCTCAACAGCGAACATGGCTCTCAGTCAGAACACACCTACATCTTCGTTTGATAACTCCACAGCAGCACAGACATTTGCTGATCTTTTTGATGGTGATGGCAATGTTAATGACTCATTCAACATTGAAAGTGAACTTTCACCGCAGACATTCAGTGAAGCAGCCAACAGCCTCATGATGGGAGACAGCAGTGGAAGCATAACTAGCATAGCAGACCAGGATCAGGGTAAGTAGTTTTCATCATACAAGCTTTGTCTATTCCGGTGTAAAAGAAACAAGGCCCCTTGGAATTATGGTCTTTATTCTACAAGACCCATGCCTGATTGGGTTTAAACATCCTTGGCCCAAGAGTAATTCATTGCATTACATCAACTGCTATGAAAGCAGTGAAGGACCGATCTTGAAGGATGGGGTTTATACCAAAACAATAAACCTAATTAAAAATCAGTATTAAGTATCATCAAATTGTCAAGCAGCTCAGAAGCATTTGGGAACTGTTAATGTAGTCAGTAGTTTTGAAAGATTGGCTTTAGATTCACTTGACAATTCAACTACACAAAACCATAATGAAACATTTAATATTCAATTATCTTGCTTAAAATGACTGGTATTGTTTAAAACATCTCTAAGTGATGTTTAATCTGGCTAAAATGCTTATGTTCACATGAATAAATGTTGACAGCATGTGATTTAGAAGCGTTCTAAAACTGGGACATGAATGTGTATGTAAGCCCAACTGTTCTGGTTTATCCAAGTGTTTGAACTCTTGTCCAACTATTCTGCCTAACCAAGTATTCAGAGTTTACTTATTTTTTAAGATCTGAAAATTCACAATGGATAGCAATAGCAGGATTCTTGCTCGGCTTTTAGACTCCGCAGTAGTCTAATATGTGTCCAGACCCTCCAGCGCAGTAGTCTGAGATATTTAAGAGTGACATACCTTTTTGAAATGTGTATTGTGATTAAATTAGCAGATAATCTTTAGCATTTTTGAAAAATACTGGAAGAGAATCTCCGATATCACATGTCTCAAAAGTTTGATATGTCAAGGGTCAAAAGTTAAAGTCACATGATTGAGGATAGGCAATGAAATTTGATTTGTTATTTTGCAGGTGCTACATTTTTTGTAATAGGCGCTTATTTGGTGTATACAGTACCAGAAATTCACGATCTAAATAGGGGTGTGAAAAGTGAAATACTCTTAGATTGAGAAAAGCATGGAGGTCACGGTGACCTTTTAGATAGAATTTAATAAATGCACAATTTAGCAGTTTGGAGCCAATAATAGAATAATGAAATTATTTGTAGAATTGATGTTCATAAGTTAAAAGGCAAACAGCTGTAATAATCATGACCATAATAATCCTAAAATATTTTTCATTCATAATGTTACAAATACCCCATCTCCCACTTATGAGATGAATGAAAAACTTACATATGCCTTGGAACCAGTATAGTGCATAGTTACAGGAAAGCAGTGTTCGCGCTGGCCATTTAAATTTCTGAGTCCCTTGGATGCAACCCATTTGAAAAATTTGGGTCCTGTCTAAAGCATGTGTGAATTTAAGTAAATGTTCTATCTGAGCATAAATGTTCAAACTTCAACTCAGAGGGGGAATTAGTAGAAACATCGCAAAAAACATGAGGTTCCAAAAATTTTGTGGGAGAACACTGGATGATACATCCAAACATAATTTTGGGCCCATTTTTAGGCCAGTTTTTCTAAAGGTCGATCTTTTCAAAAGGGAGGCATATTTCTTTACATGAAATTGAATGGCAAATCGAAATTTAATGTTGCAAGTGTATTTGATAAACTAATAAAACCAGAATACTTGGGTCAAGTCAGAATACTTTGGCAAGGAGTACTTGGATAGGCCAGAATACTTCACTGAACACCTGAACACAAAACTATATTAACATAAGTTTGCTATTGGCTTTAGGTGTTTTTCTTCTTTTTATCACATTCCTCTTTCTTTTCATCATATTTCTAGGAAAATCGATTGATAGCTTTTCTTTTCCTACATATGTTAGAGGGTGCCAAGTAGTACTGTCAGCTTAAGCAACTAGTTGGTGGTATGATTTAAGTCATGTACTAGTATATTTTCCTGATGAACCTTTCACAAATCAGACTTAGGTGCTATCGATATGTTTAGATGCACTGAGTGGTTAAGATTGATCTACACCAAATTAAATAGTTCTGACTGATCTTCTAAGATGAATTATTCTGCTTTGCCTACCTTAATGTTTTGTTTAATGTGGCAGGAACAATGAGTAAGGCATAATCCTCTAATGAATATGGTTAAGGTAGGTCAAATAAAATGATCATTTATATAAATGATCCCACTTGGTATACCTCAACAGAATTTTGAGAAACGGCATGAATCATGTGTTATCTTGCACTTTCTATACGAATACTAAACCAGAGCGATGTTTTATATGTACAGTAGTAATGGACATATTACATACTATTTACTAGATATAAAGCCTGAACTTGGTAAAAATGTGACTATTAATTAACTTGAGATAATAACCTTAGTTTGTTGTAAACACCGACTGTTTTTCTATTGACTTCTTTCAGTGTTTATGTTTATTACATCTACTTACGATCACTTTACTTCCTTGTTCCTGCTGTGAAGGTATTTATTAGCTGATTAGCCGCCTGTATTTTGTACATATATGAGGATTTTCTTTCCTAATGTTGAAATACCAAGTAAATGTAAATTCCAAGCTTCAAGATGTCTTAAATATATGTAAATGAAAAAGCAGCAGTGAATATTATATGGTTGAATCAACAACTTGTTCTTATGAATGCAGACTGTTAAGGTTAAAATAAATTGATTTTCCCAATTGACTTTGTTTGAGAGGGATTTAGAGAAGCAGTCCATCCATCCACAGATCCAGTCCATATGTTTGGCCTAAAAAATCATTCTGTTCCGAATATACTTGTATTAATAGTATTTCATATTCAGTGCTTTCAGTAGGTTTGTCCAAGAGTGCACCAATGGGACGGATTGATTTTCAAAAAATGAGTCCCCCCCCCTCAAAAAAGTGCGTCCAGTGAAAAAATGGTTCCTGTGAATTCAAAGTCACATTTTTACACCGAACGAAAAAATTGATGAAAAGTTTCTGTAATAATCAGTTTTGTTATTTATCGGCCTAAATCATCATTCTACAAACGTCTAGTAGGTGACTAAATGATACAGGTACGTTAACTTGAAAGAAATACTTGGGGCAATCTCCGTGAGATTCCATTTATTAGTTCTGTTTTATGTGCATGCGCAACAAATCCAGTAATTTGATTGGTTAAATTATTAAGACGCATGCACGGTTAATAATCATGGCCAATCATAGGACTCGTACCAATTACCACTCGTCACGGTAGCAACTACTTAGTAATTGTCCTATCACAGGCCTCGTACTCTTTCGATTGAAAGGTAAGATCTTTTTCCGAGTCTATCAATTTTGTCAATGAAAACAAAGGATTTTGCGTCCCAGGGATGGATCATTAAAATTTTTTGGAGCCCCTTCATCAATATCCGGGTCCTAATATTAACCTTTACCATGCTGCCTTATTTCAGCAAATATATCCCACGCAACTGGCTTATTTTTCAAAGAGTGCAAAAAATGATATACCTGGACTAAATAATTAATATCTCAATAACTACTGAATGAATCTGGATAAAATTTTCACAAAGGGAAGATACAGTGGCCTGGCTCATGAAAAAAAATGTTCTCATGAATTTTTTCGTACATTAACACGACTGGGCATAAATATACCATGAATACTCCTCCGGAATCCGCCGCTCCGCCTCTTCGTCTGGTCAGAATCCAAATCTGAATTTGCAGCGATCGAATGTTCAATTTTTCAATTCAGAAAATATTCTAGTTTCTATTTTCGATGACCGTTATCGGCTTCCAAGAGCCTAAAGAGCTCGAAATCGTAATCTATTTCCTCCACATTTTCGTTGTGATCGTATTTGTCCACCATTTTGTACGATTCGTTCACTAAAAACGACTAAAACACTGTTTAAATTGTTGAATTGAGAATTATTTTTCGAAATATCGCCATTTCTAGGTCAACAGGAAGTCATGTTAGGCACTGAATAAATCGGGCAATCTAATTGGACAATACGAATGGCGCGAAAAAGTAAAGTTTTTAAAAGTTTGAAATCGGGCGTATGGGTCCGCCGGCAGTTGTGAGAGACATTTTAGTTTCGGCGGACGAGTCCGCCGGCAGCACGCTAAAGGTTAAGGATGCATTACTGAAAGCTCTGATATTGTAGTTAAAACTTTATTTACCTGGCCCTAGATCAATACCATGCCATTACCGAATATCAGGATTTTTTTTGGTTCATGTCTGCGAATTTGTATAATGTCAGGTTATTCTGTAGGCTGTCATAATGAATTTCACCCCTTTTCATACAAACGTGGTTTATAACCATGGATTATCAATGTCTTATCTGATTTTCGCTAATTCCATACTGAGAAATATATTTTTTCGACTGGGAGTTCCATTCTTGGTCAAAAAGAAAATAACGCAAAAACATTTCCAGTAGTGAAAAGATAACTTTTATTGTACCTTCAAAACAAAGTCTTAGGGATAGCCCTTCGGTGGTCTGTCCATTTGTTTCTCGGG